TAGTAATAAATATGCCAAACAAAGCTTGCTAAGTTTTTGTGTATATATATATATATATATATATATATATATATATATATATATATATATATATATATATATATATATATATATATATATATATATATTTAAATATATGATATTAAAACTATTTACACATACTTGGTATATACGAATTCTTGAAACGTTCAGTATTGGCCTTAATTGGATAAAATTCATTTTGATATCTTAAATTGTATCTATTATTATTATTATTACCAGGATGTCTATTTAGTAAGTCTTGCATTTTTGCGTGATATTTTATTGATTTTGCACCTCCCCTGAAAAGTCATGCACCTCCCCTTGGGAAAGTTTCAATGATGTAGATCAAAGTGAAAATTTTACATTATCTGGTTGCTTAGGGTGTACACTTCATAAGAAAGTTTTTCTGTAAAATTGAAACAGTGATAGCCATTCAGTCTCGCAGTCGCATTGCATTGGCATTTGACAATTTTTTTTGCATCTGCATTTTTTACTTTGTCCTCTCAAGCTGTGAAATATCAAAGTGTTTATGTATATTATATAAAAGAAGGTTTTGACAGAAATGCATGTGACGTCAACTGTGTAAACTTGGCTCTTTGAATGACGTAATCTTTCGAGTTGACGTCATCAATTTTTCATCTCACTATCGATCTAATGACGAAAAATTGTTCGTTCTTGAACAAAACGTAACTAATTATATGCTATAAGTTCTTTGTATGTTTGCATGGCGATAAAATATAATAGTTTTGTTTGTGGAAACACCACGTTGCAGTAGTAAATTTACGCGGTAAATTTAGTAAATTTACAAAACTATTAATTATATGCTGTTGAACATGGGTTGAACTGGGTCAGAGTAAAACGCGGATACGGACGGACGGACGAACGACCTACGTATTTATATGCGTGACGCCAAAAACATGGCTTGCTCGATCAAGACAGATAAAAACTCAATTGTTGCTATTGATAAAAACTCATGGCTAAATGACCATGACGAACAACATAGCATTTGGGGCACCAAAAGTCCCAAATCTGAATGGAGTTGTACTCGTAGTCAATTCTATAAAAGTTCCCTTTCCATTGGTTAGTTCACTTAGTTGTATGTCCAAATATTCAAAATACACAAGTGTAAATTTACATTTGCTTTTTGGAGACGGGAATGCTTTTTGTGCATTCCTGTTGTGTACCCTGGTTAAATTTCCTGGTTATTTACAGTCGAACCGGATGTTCTCTTGCGAGCAAAATTGCAATTGGATTATAGGAAAGTGGGAAGTTAATCAAATAGTCTGAGCAACTGGATTGGTGCTTCCCTCTTTCTTATAGTCCAATCAGAGGCTTTGTTTACAAATCGTTTGTGAATTTCAACTTGCAATTTGTTCGCGTCGGTTGCAAATTGCTCAGAGCAATCTGCCTATCACAATTGCAATATTGTGGGACAATATTGCAATGTTGCTCGCAAGAGAACATCCAGTTTGACTGCAATCTCACTTCCTAGTTCCTACAATCCTACCATAGTCTGGTTAATGTAACCAGGAATCTGGCTATATTTGACCATGACGTCCTTGTTAAAATAACCAGACTATGTTAGATGGGTAAATAACCAGGGTGCCCTAGTTATTTATTTAGGTTAATTTAAGGTTAACTAGACCAGACTACAGTAGGAAAAAGGTTAAAATAATCAGGACATTTAACCAGGGATATAAGTTAGCCCAATTATTAGGGTTGTTTCTCGGTTGATTCTACAATCATGGCAAAAATTTCGTGGACACTTAGGTGTAAACTAAAGTATTGCTGTTCACATACACATGTTGGCGTCTTTGTCTCCCCCCCCCCCCCTCCAAT